AACCTTCCGAGGAATCCCTTCCGCGCGGCCCCGGGCGGTAGGTGAGGTGGGAGCGGAGTACACTCGGGACCGGCACCCGCGCTGAGCGAAAGCAGAGCGCCCTTCCCATCCGCAGGCCAGACCGCCGCCCTGCCAGAGTTAGCACGGCCTGGAAACCGGAGTTTGCAGGGTCCTCCCCGGCCCACCCCTCCCCTATTAGAATAAGTCAGGGGTTAAATGTCCGCTTTGCCCTTTCTCTTGATCTTGGGGGGAAGGCAAGAAGTGCTGGCACCTTTCTAGACCTCAGACCTGCGCTGCTGCAAGCAGTCCCAGCCCCTCTAACTTTGATCAGCCTTATTAATTCCAGCTGCGCCCTATTTGTTTGTCATTTTCCCCTTTTCCTCTAGAATCATTATTTATGGCAGGGAGGGGAAAAAAAAGGTGCGGTGCGGTAGAATGGAGACAGGCAAGGGATGTCTGCGAACAGGAGGGTGAATGTGAGTGTTTTCCCTAAAGGTCATCAAAAAGGAGGGGCCCAGAGGGCCTGGTCTCCAGGTTCATTACTCAAAAGCATTAACTAATTACCGGATCAGAGAAAAGAAAAAATAAATGTGAAAATAACCAAAGGTAATTATAGCCCTGTTGTTGACACTAAAGATTAATAATTGATCAGGAGTTACACAGGATAAATTGTCAATTTATCTCCCCACAAGGATGCACGTGCTTGTGTAGCATTGTTTTGTTTCTCCCCTGTGGGCATTTCCTATGGAGATCAACTCCGTTCACATTGGGAGGCAGCCCCAAACCTCACAGTGCTTCTTTAAGAATATTACATTTCATTTGTCTTCAGTTTCTTATGGAACAAAGTTACTTTGGGACACCTTAAAAACAAACAACTTTTCCCTTTTACCTTGGGGCCAAACTTAAACACATTCTTCCTCTTTCCTTGTTCCTGGGATTGCACAGAACAGAGGAGAGTGATTTCATAACTCATTTCATTTTTATTACATTACCAGTATAGTCTTCCTTTATAACATCTTCAATCTCTACCTTTCTTAGAAAGAGGGAGACCGCTCTGTCCTCAGGAGAGGGAACACAGGCCTACTCTGTGTGTGTGTGTGTGTGTGTGTGTGTGTGTTGGGGGGGGGGCGGGGACGGGGGAGTGTTAGTGGAGACTCTCTCTCTTTGCAGGAGTAGCAGGTGAAGCATGCAAATAGGGGGTGTTTGCAGGTAAAACTGGGGTTATAGGTTTCTTCTCCCTCTCCCACCAAAGGCTGAAGTCCAAGTGCATATCATCAGATACCATTTCCCTAGAGTTCCAGCCAAACCAAAGGGGAGGGCTGGCCTGTGCTTTCATTATGGCCAATAGAAAGTAATTTTCAGCAACTGGAAAATTATATTGTCATAGATTACTTCTCCCTATAATAAGCCTTTAAAATATCTGCAGGGATTTGTCACATAAAGGTTTGAAAAACACATCAAAGGGACATGTCTCCTTTGCAATATGTAGAAATTCAAATGGTGTTAATCATAATAGCCACGTATCACAAACGTGTATTGTTCCCAAGATTGCCTCTTGGGTTAACACATTTTAAAAATGCTTGAAATGTTATATTTTGTAAAACAGTTAAAAACACATATTTAAAGATCTATTTAAATCCTTAATTTGTAGCAAAAAAAAAAAAAAGGACGTTTTCCTTGAGATTTCAATGCACTGGATAACTAAAGAAAACCTACACGGTGGATAATCATTGTATATTGCTTTGCTACTCAGGAGAACTTGCTAAAAATTCAGTGTATTTAAATTTGAAAAGGGTTGACTCTGAAAAGAGAAATTGGCTTGGAATGTTTTTAAACTTATGTCTGTTTGCCTCAACTCTAGCAGTGGAAGTTTAGGGCACATTTATAACGAAACATTAAGACATGAAAGGTCCCCTTTACTCTTTTAGCCTTTTAAATAAATAATTTAGTGCAATTTTAAATGACCCTAAAACCCGGGTTTTGCGCGCGGCTGCTGCATTCCTGTGTTTTGTGGGAATTTGTTTGTTTGTTTGTTTTGCAGTGGTTTGCACCGCGCAGAGTCCCCAGATACCTGATCAACGCGTGCAGAGCGTAGCCCGCGTGAGCTCCAGCGGCCCGCGACGGGGTGCAGGCAGGCGCCCCCTGGACTCCAGGCAGCGCAGACAGGCCCCCGTCCTCGCCCTCCGCTCCGCCCCTCCCCTCCTGCCTCGCATCAGACAAAGGTGGATGAAGTTCTTTTCAAGTTTCAAAGGCAGTGGCTGGGCAGCTTTGCAGAAACAATAACTCTTTTATTGGGAACAAATGTTGACATTTGATGGGCGCGGGAGGCAGCGGCCGCCGGGCATGCGCTCCCGGTGCTCTGGGCAGCGCAGGGCCTCCTGGCCCACCTGAGATTAAAGCGCGAATTCCGATAAATCAGCTCTAATGAACCCCGGACTGCAGAGGGCAGAGGGGCCACGAAGCCCGGAGTGTGATCAGGCCAGCACCCAGCCGCTTGCGTGGCTCCGGTTCCCCGTGTGCCCGCCTCCGGGAACAACTGCACATGGCTGGCGACTATATTTTTAATTAACTAGATTTTAAAGCAAAAATAAAATTAGACCCCATTAATCCTTCCCCAATGAAAGATACCTCCTCACCCCCACCTCCCTTCATCTTAACTAAAGATCTGCATGGCGAAGAGCTCATAAATCACTCGGCATTTCTTTAAAAAGATCCCTCTAAACACCTGCAGGTTTTATGTTCTTAGTGTACATTTAAAAATCAAGTTCTCCAGGAAGAAATCCAGGTCAGGAGGCAGGGTGGGTAAGTTATGGAAATCTCTGATAATTTGTTGGGCATATAAACATCAAAGGGCTAATCTCCTGAGCTGCTTTGAGTTTTCACCAATTGAAAGGTGCAGTTGTCCCTGAGAATGGGGTCTGTCTGGGGTGTGTGCCTGTGTGGGGGGATGTATCACATGTCCAGGTAACACAATCTTCTGCTCCAAAGGGAGGCAGCTTTTATCCAGGCTTCAATTTCTGAACATATGCACGGAGATCAATTTTTGCTGGGGTTTTCTACTCGCACTCTCCACACTTTAGGAGATGGAGTGTCTCCAGTGCTGCATCTTAATGAGGCTGTATGGTCTTTCAGCATTTAATTTGTTAAATATTGTTAACTTTCATCCTTTTCACTGAAGTCTTCAAAATATTCAACTTAGAATATTACATAAAACAGAGATATTGCCGCTGTGTGTGTTGTATTCCCTGCCGATTTAGGAAAGATGGCTAATATTAATAAAAGCCAACGACTTATCAGCTTCATACTGTAATCTAAAAATGCTATCTGCTGGGCGGGGGTGGGGGGGGAATCATTATCTTCACAGAAATTCTATGAGGTTTTATGTCTCAAACAAAAACAAGCAAAGATGCTCCCAGCAGCTCCCTGTAACTTCCACAGATGGGCATTTGTTTTCCTCCAGACACACTGCCCCAGTGGCCAGGCGCCCATGTGAACAACCCTCCTGTCCCTGAGAGAGAGCTCAGCTCCAAACCTCTCCTCATCTATTACTAGGGGAGGCAGGAAGGAGAGAAAGAGTTCTGGACCCCAAATATTCACTTTAAGTCTAACCTCCAAATGGTTACATATCCAAAGCCAACAAAATGCCTAAGAAGTCACAGAAAACCGAAAACTGAATCTGCTCCTTTCCTCCACAAACCACAACCGCTCCTCCCACGGCCCAGTCAGTGTCCAGTTCACAGCCTCCTAGCTTTGCCTCAAGTACCCAAGATTACTTTCAAATACCCTTTCTAACAAGACCCCAGCAAGAGGCCACTAATTTCTACAGCACAAAAAGCCACTGGAGAGAGATCCGTTTGTCAATATCAAGCGGTCCAGCAATTTCCCATCCTCAGACACATGGGCCTATCTGAGCTGGCAGATGTTTAGACAAGATTTTATAAATTGTTCAATATCAGCCCATAATGAACCCCAACTGACCATTCCAAAGCAGCTAAAAGCACCCGGGACGTCCCCCGCTGGGATGCAATAATGTGCTCATGCTGCAGCATTATTAATCACGGAATAAAATAGATGAACCTCTTGAAAAATAAGTGTATGATTGATTAAAGGGCAATCTGAGGAGCTATTATTCTTGTTTTATAACCGTAAGTTATATTCACTCAATTTATCTTTGCAGAGGAAATAAATGATTGTTCATTTCTTTTCTGAAATTATATTATATGTATATCCATATAATTTTGCTGAAAATTAAAGTGACAGGTTTCCTGCTTTTATGATACTAATCAAAGGAAATATGTTACTTGCCTACAAATTCTAGACTTGTCCTATAATTAGATAGTGAGTAACACAATAATGAGGCAATAGTCTAAGGGTGTTTAAGCTTTTCTTTTCCCCCAGGGTAAGGGTAAGAGCCACTGAGAGGAAAATAAATCTCTCCTCCCAGTTTTCGCCTTGTGTTTAATGTGAGTTATACGAAAAGGAGAGTGAAGAAGTCATTCAATAAATCTGAATAATCTATGCCAATTTGGATAATTTCGGCTTTAAAGTTATTTAAAATAAATAATCATTTCCATCAGTAATTTATGGTGGGGGTGTAACTCTTTATTATCCATGTTACCACAATTTTCCAGTTTACTTTACTGAGGAGGTAATAAATAAATATTAAATGGATCCTAAAGCACAGGGATGTCAGGTCATTTTATTTTGCCAAGCTTAAAAAATATTTACACTAACAAGTATTTTGCATATTCAGGGCACAAAATTTTAATTTCCTTGCAATACATGTGTATATAAATAACCTAAAAATCACAGATATCTCCCTACTGCTTATTTCTCTTCCATCTGCCTTTTTTTTATGAGCAGAAAGGGGAGGCTATTTTACACATTATCTTTAAAAAGCCTGAGGTCAGATCACCTGGGGTGGGGACTGCTGTCACTGCTATCCCTGGGGCTCTCTACCCAAAGCACTCTTTTAAGAAAAAGGAGCCCCAAACACCATGTTGCTGTAGTCTAGTCTGTTTTTATTTACAATTTAAGATATAAATTAGTAAAGAATTATTGTTAAACAACCAACAAAGATTGTATAACCAGCAATGTTCAAATAAAAACCAGGCAGAATTTATTTACAAAAAGTTTAGATTCCATTGCAATACAACTTGCATAAATTACTAGAAGCTTTATATCATTATAAAAATAAATATCAAATTTGTTTCCACTTTTTAAGTACTCAAGTTCTTCAATCACGTTTTATTTCTACTGTGTACATCTTTTACAAATAAATTTTACAGTAAATCCTATCACACCTATAGCATATATACCGTGGCAATGAAGTGATCAATTCAAGATATCCTGAGAAAAAAGATTGTTTTCAAAAGTCACACATACATTGGGGAAGCTATACTATGCCAACAAATTCACGTCTATCCAACAAAAGTCTGTTCGGTTCGGTTAGTCTGAGTTGACAGTGCTCTGCGGCTCCTTCCTTTACAGTGGCACAAGATGCGGTCCGGGTGAGCGCGGCTTTTTACGTCTGTGTATTTATGAACTTGGGAAAAAAGAATGGCCTGCTGACTTTTTTTTTTCCAAAGCAATTGTGACACCTACCTGTGGACCAAGGAAAAAACCAAATCATCCCAAATCTTTCAGTTTCACACCAACATCATCACATTATAAAAAGGAGTCATCTGAAAGGGTTCAGCCTCTTTCCCACCTTTAAGAAGTGAAATAAGTAATTTTGCCTATTTGTAAAATAGGTATTTTTTTAAACTGCTGTGAGCCAGAGGATCTGCAGGGTCCTATTGAGTCCATCTGGACTCGGGGGGATGGGCCTGATAACCGAGGAGTGCTTCTTGTCTCTCAGTCTTACTATGCAAACATCATCTAGAAAGGTTTCTGATACCAAGTTTCAGTAACACTAGCTCATCAAAGCAAGTGTCTATTCCGTGTCTAGTGGAGCAAAAGCACTCCATATTGCACACAAATTCCCAGATTGAGAAATATATGTATATATATATATATATATATATATATATATATATATAGAGAGAGAGAGAGAGAGAGAGAGAGAGAGAAAGAGATTCTTCAAAGCAGAACTTGAGCAAAAAAAGAGAGACACTATAAAAGAGAACAACTCCTCTCCCACTTAAAGGAAAAAAAGACCAAGAAGATTGCAATGCTGTCTTCAGACCCCATGACAAGAAGCAAGAAATAGACATTAAGCAAGTTTTCAGAGCTATTGGTGCAGGGAGGCTCCCCCAGGGTGGGCAGAAACACCAGGGGGCCCACTTACTTGTATTGCTGTACACACGGCCCTTCTATAGGTAGGACTGGATGCCCCCACCAACCACGGTGCAGCCCTCACTGGCATCTGTCAGGGGAGGGGGCAGTTAGTCAGAACCAACCCCGTAGCCATCTATCTCCCAGACAGCAGCACAGCCACCAGCCCGCACACCCAGGAAGCCTGCTCCCTGTATGGGGCCAACAGTAAGAGGAACCTGAGTGTCCACCACCACTGTGTCAGATGCAGATTTTAGTCACATTTCTGAGTTCTCATTTTTTTTTACCCCCTTGAGCTCCTTTTACAGGTCTTATCAGCTCAAGTCTGAATTATGAGCAACAGAGGCAATATAGAGAAAGGGAGAGGAAGGAATAAGGCTCCGGTTTTCTATTTTGAAGAACTAAGGCCTCTGGGAATAACTGGAACGTTTTGCTTTCTTCCAGCCAAAGGCAGAAGGAGAGACTATTAACAACAGAACACACCAAAGCCGAAGCTCAGTGGTGGGGAGACAAACTACAATTCGAATTTCGTGACAGTCTGTGCTTGACAAACTAAAACTAGCTGTCCTGGCCATCATAATAAATAAATAAATAGTAAATAATAATGAGATGGGTCTCATTATGGATCACTTGGCCCTTCCCATCTCTTTTTGGAGTCATTACCCCCGCCCCCTTCACTTCTTCTAACTTTTAGTCTAACTGTGGTGCATTCTGTGTTTTTCCTTTCTCTTCTAAGTGACAAAGGTTCCCCCTGCACATCCACAGGTCTCCCAGCCCCTTCCCTGGTCCCTTGGGAGTGCTGACTATCCGGGCCCTGCTGGCTGTCCCTCCCAGAGGACCCGTGGCCCCAGCAGCCTACCTTTCTTGGGCTCATAGCTGCCGCCCGGGGGCCGGTAATGGGACTCCAGCGGATGCGTGCCTGCCTTGCCCGCGTCGCTGGCCGCCTTGGGCGCCGCGTGCAGCGCCTCTCCTGGGCCCGAGGCCGCCGCGTTGTACCGCAGGAGCCCCTGGCCCTGCAGCGCCGCGTTCAAGTTCCCGTAATTTGTGTAGTTGCCATAGAAGGGCGACGTGTAGTAGAGGTGGCGGCCGAGCAGCGGGGACGCGGGGTAGGGAGAGCCTCCGGGTGGCGCCCCCGACGAGGCCGGCGCTGCGGCCGCGGGCAGCCCTGGCGGCGCGCAGCCCGGGCCCACGCTTGGCTGCTTGAGGTCCGACGTGGCGATCTCGGCCAGAGACCACAGCTTGGGCTTGCTGGCGGGCTGCGGCGCGCCCGGCGACGTCCGGCTGCCCAGGGGGGTCTTGCCACCACCGCCACCGCGGGGCGCGGCCTCGGGCGGAGGGCTCAGCAACGGCGCCTCCACGCCGGTGAGCGGCGACGAGGTCACGGCTTTGGATGGCGCCAGGTCCCGCTCGCCCTCCTCCTCGTCCTCTTCGTCGTCCTCCAGGTCGTCATACTTATCCTTGCACTCTGAGCCCGATTCGCACAAGGGGTCCCCGGCGCGGCAAGGCAGCTTCTCCCCGTCCGACTCCGCAGAGCAGGAGTGATCCGTGAGCGAGTCGACGTGCAGGCTGATCCCTGTGGGGACGCGGGCACCGTCTGTGGCACGTGGGGCAGCCGGGGCACCTGGGACCCCTCTGCCCCCACGTCCCAGTGTACCAGGCCCTCCCCATAAGATTCCTCACCTCCACCCAGAACCTACCAAGGCCTATGGGGAGCATGGCCTCCCTGAAAAGCACCCCGAGGAATCTTTAGGCCCACTAGCTGCCAGGCCCACTCCTTGCCAGGCGGCTGTAAGGCCAGCAGCGTCCTCCCCTCCCTCAGCTCTGCGCCCCGCCTGGGAAGAAAACTCCCCTGGACTTCCAGCCCACCAGGTCTCGCTCACCTTCGTCCTCTGCCGATGTCTCGGTGCCCTCCTGCGACTTATCCAGACTCTCCTTGTTCCTGGCCGCGTCACCCTCCTCCTCGTCTTCATCCTCGCTTTTGTTCCTCGGGGCCCACGTCATCTTGTTCTCCTTCTTGAGGCGCCGGCGCGCGTTGGCGAACCAGGTGGAGACCTGCGTGAGGGTCATCTTGGTGATGATGGCCAGCATGATCTTCTCGCCCTTGGTGGGGTAGGGGTTCTTGCGGTGCTCGTTGAGCCAGGCCTTGAGCGTGGCCGTGGCATCCCGCGTGGCGTTCTTGCGGTACGCTGGGTCATTGAGCTGGTACGGGTAGGCCGCGCTGCCATACGGATGATAGCTGATGGCGCCCGTCATCCCAGTCGTGTGCGCGTCGTAGGGCGCGCCCTGGAACCGACAAGAGCCCGAGTGAGTGGGGTACGCGGGGACCTGGCAGGCAACCTCCAAAGGCAACCCCTCGGCCCGCCCGTGGCCGCCTTTCCCACGGTGAGTCTCCCGCGGTGGGGCCGCGCTTCCCGCAGCAGCAGAGCAGAAAACAAAACAAAACGAAACAAAACAAAACAAAAAAACGCAGCGGGTTATTAAGGCCAGCTGTTGATCACAAAAAGCGCTGCAGTTTTATTCCCGAATTTTTGAACTATTTCACTTTCCTAAAATGGTATATCTTCCTCTGCAAATTCCCTGGGCCGCGAGTATAGACGCACGCAAACACGCAGGGCCGAAGGTAGTTTCTTGATATCTAAATTTTTCTGTATTCTCAAGCACTGAAGCCTCCCCCTTACCCCGCCCTTATATGGTTAAAAAATCGCCCCAGCCCCTGCTCCGCCATTCACCAGTCCAAAGCTCCGCAAATCCAATTTGCAACTCAGAAGCCAGTCACCGTTTCGAATTCTTCAAATACGCGGCAATTAGCATTTTAATTCAGCCTTTAACGTTTAAATTTGAGGCTTTTTGCAACCTTCACCAAGGCCCCTGCTACTCGGGCGCTGCCCTGGAATTCCACCGAGGGCGGGCAGTGTCGACCTAAATGCTACCATCGCCCGAAACGCACTCCGCCTCCGGGCCTTGCCAGGAGCAGATCCGAGGCGCGCGGACCAACCCCGGGTACGGGAGCAGGAGCTGCTTTCGGTGCCCAGGGAACCAAGAAGGTACTTGGCGGGCCACAGGCCCGCGGACACGTTTTTCGAAAGCACAGCCTTCAAGACAGTTTAAGAACCAGACCACGTCGGGCAGGGCAGGGCCCCGGAGACCCTGGCAGATGCTTCGCCCCTCCCCCATCCCAGTGACCCCCCTCCCCCCAGCACAGAAGTAACTAAGCGCCCGCAGCCGCCCCGGAGGCCTAGTGGCACTGACCCTCGCTCCCCGCGCCAAAAGAAGCGAGCCCCGAGCCCGCTGTGGACCCCTCGTCAAGCTTCGGTGCCTGAACTAAGGACAAATCACAACAGATCCCGATACCAGCGTAGTCGCACTTTCCAGGCTCTTTGGAAAGTAGCCTTAGGAAGGCGGCGCGGGACGGGGGTCCCAGCCAGACTCAGGAACGTTGCCTGCCGGCCGCGATGCCTCTCACCCTGGACTTTTGTCCCGGCCAGCGGCGTGGCAGCCCGAGTCGGCGACGCCGGAGCCACCGCCCACGGCACGTTCCCCGCGCCCCTGTTCGCGGATCCCCAGGCCCGCTCGACTGCGCTCCGATCTGGGTCCCCAAGCCCGGGTGTCCCGCGTCCCCGCCCGCCCGATTGGTTACCATGTAGGACGGGAAGCCGGCGGCGGCGTCGGCCGAGTACTGCAGCGGGCTTGCCGAAACCTGTGGGCAGCCTGCGCCGTGAAGGCCGGTCGAGCCCGGGTAAGGGCTGAACGCGGAGGCCCGAGGCCGAGCGCGCAGCTTCATCGCT